AATCGTGTTGTTGTCAAGCTTGCCCGAACCATACGAAAATTTTGTCGTCGCCATTGAGACGCGTGACAATTTACCGTCATTTGATGTGTTATGTATCAAGCTGATGGAAGAGGGAGAGCGCAGAGGCAATGCAGATGGAGAGAGCGAGAATGCAAGAGCATTTATAGCTACGCAGCAGATCGTCGCGCATTCCAAAGCGAATTCAAAAAGGAATTCAAAAATCGTCGTTTGCTACAACTGCGGCGAAAAAGGGCACTACAAGGCACAGTGCAAGCGTGAGAAAATTCGCGGTGAAGGGAAAAAGCAATCGACAAAGAAAGAGATGGAAAAGCAGAGCAGCTTGTTAAATGCGTTGGACGTTGGAAAGATAGAGAACAACATGTGGTGTCTGGACAGCGGAGCAACAAGCCATATGTGTTGCGATAAGACGTTATTTTCAAAATTTATTGCGCACACTGAAATGATCGGTTTAGCTGACGCTGGTTTCCTGAAGGCCGAAGGCAGAGGAGAGGTGAAGTTACAGACAGAACTTTGTACCTTGGTGTTGTCAGATGTACTGTATGTACCGAAAATGAATGGCAACTTTATGTCCGTCAGCCGGTCAGTGCAAAAGAACAATGTTATACATTTTGGGCCACATTTTGCTAAAGTTATACAAAACGGCGAGTGTATACTGAAAGCGAATAAAGTTGGGAACCTTTATATGTTTCAAGGCAAACAAAATAGGTGTTATTCCGCAACTGAATCAGATGGTACATTGTGGCATAAGCGTTATGGCCATTTAAATTTTACCAGTCTGAAGGAAGTGATCAGCAAAGAGCTAGTGCGTGGTATTGGAAAGGTTGTTTTCCCAGACAACTTGAATTGCAAAACGTGTATGCTAAGCAAAATACATGTACAGCCATTCCCAAAGGTAAGCACTAACCGTGCCGAAGAGCTGTTGGAACTGGTTCATGCTGATGTATGCGGCCCATTCGACACGAAGTCACTTGCTGGATCCAAATACTTTCTGACCTTCATCGATGACAAGTCCAGGCGTATATTTGTTTATTTTTTGCGGAAGAAAGATGAAGTGTTCAGTAAGTTCGTCGAATTTAAAAACTTGGTTGAACGGCAAACAGATAAAAAGCTCAAATGTATTCGAACCGACAATGGAGGCGAGTTTGTCAACACAACATTCAACGGTTTCCTGAAACACCATGGTATTGCAAGGCAATTGACCGTGGCTTATACTCCGCAGCAGAACGGCGTGGCGGAAAGAGCAAACCGGACATTAACGGAGATGTCCAGATGCTTATTGGTGCAGTCGGGCCTAGGCGAGTCTTTGTGGGCCGAAGCAGTCAACACAGCAGTATACATAAGAAACAGATCACCTACCAGTGCACTGAACAACCTGACTCCAATGGAAGCGTGGACAGGTAAGAAACCCTGTGTTAGCCATCTAAAAGTTTTTGGTTCCATTGCAGTTGCACTTGCAAAGGGTCCCCGTAAAGGCAAATTCAAACCCAAAGGGCATGAGTACCGTATGGTTGGGTATTCGGTAGCAGCCAAAGGCTATCGGTTATACGACCCAGAGACGAGGACGATTGTCGAAAAACGAGACATTCTATTTGATGAGCGTTGTGGTGGTCATACCAATGAAGATACCGTTACGGTAGATTTTCCTGCATGCGAGGTTCAAGAGCATGTCACTCACACGGATGGTGACAGAAGCATCGACGACGATGACAGTGAGCACAGTTCTGACGACAGCAGCTCCAACGCATATGAGAGTGCAGTCGAAAAAGAAGACTCTGACGAGGATACTGTGAAGATTGGGCCAGGCCGGCCTAAAATTGTTCGAAATGGTAAACCTGGTCGTCCAAGAAAGCAATACAATGTGCTTGGAGCATTGGTTGCTAGTGACGTAATGGTTCCGACATCCTATGATCAGGCCGTTGGTAGCACACATGCAGTATTCTGGCAAGAGGCGATGCAAAAGGAATATCAGGCACTACAATCAAACGAAACCTGGCAGATGGCTGATTTACCAAAAGATCAGCGAGCAGTTGGTTGCAAGTGGGTATACAGCCTGAAACGTGACTCTGATGGAAAAGTCGAACGTTTCAAGGCACGACTCGTTGCTAAAGGGTGCTCCCAGAAGTATGGCGTGAACTATGTAGAGACGTTCTCACCCGTTTGCAGATTGGAAACCGTGCGGTTTATTTTGGCGTTAGCAGCGGAATTGAAGCTGTACCTTCACCAGATAGATGTGTGTACCGCCTATTTGAATAGCGACCTGCATGAAACTGTTTATATGAAGCAGCCACAGGGATACACAGATCCCAATAATCCAAGTAAGGCTTTATTGCTTAAAAAGGCAATATATGGATTGAAGCAGTCGGGGCGCGAGTGGAACTCCAAGCTCGATTGTGTACTACAAGGCATAGATTTTGTAGCATGTGAAAATGAACCGTGTCTTTACAAAAGGAACGGAAGAGGTGACTTATCATTAATCCTTGTTTATGTTGATGATATAATTATAGCATGCCGATCAAAAGAGGACTTGGCCAACATCAAGTCAGCCATTACAACATCGTTTGAATGTGTTGACAAGGGAGAGCTGCATTTGTTCCTTGGCATGGAAGTGCAGCGCGACGGTGAGCTTGGCGAAATTTCGCTAAGCAATTCGCAATACATCAAAGACATATTGCGTGAACATGGATGCGAGACCTGTAGACCTACAGCGACCCCACTGGATGCTGGTTTCCAAGTGATATGTACCAGCGAGCATTGTCAAAAGGTTGACATTGCATCCTACCAGTCTTCAATTGGCGAGTTAATGTGGCTGGCGCTTACAACAAGGCCAGACATATTGCATTCCGTTGCCAAGTTAGCTCAACGGAATCAAGATCCGCATGCAGAGCACCTAGTGGGTGTAAAACATGTGCTTCGATACCTGGCGTCAACTGTGGACCTGAAGTTGCACTACAAAGAGTGTGGACAACCCCTTACCGGCTATGTGGATGCAGACTGGGGTGGCGACCGCATCGATCGCAAGTCGTATACTGGCTATGTATACCACTTGGCTGGAGGACCCATATCCTGGCGATCTGAAAAGCAACGCAGCGTGGCACTTAGCAGCACGGAGGCGGAGTATATGGCTCTTTCAACTGCGTGTAAGGAGGCCATATACCTACGGCGTCTTATAGTGGAGATTGGCTGCGGTGACTCGAGTACTCCAACTATTCTTCATGGCGATAATTTAAGTGCTCAACAATTAGCTAAGAATCCTGTACACCATGAAAGAACAAAGCATATTGATATTAGATATCATTTTGCAAGACAGGTTGTAAACGAAGAACAAATTGTTTTACAGTATACATCAACCAATGAAATGATAGCTGATATTTTAACGAAAAATCTCCCTAAAGCGAAGCATGTTCATTTTACAAAGCTGTTAAATTTGATTTGAAAATTTTTGTAAAACATGTTTGCATTGAGGAAGGGTGTTGAAAATCAATACAAACATAAGTACCAATGCACGCATGTTAATATAAGCAGATAATAATCTTATGTTATCTACAAGTTATCTGTCACTGTTGCATACGAATGTAAGCATAAAGAATATGTATAGCAAAAGTGTCAGTCTCCAATAAAACTCTAAAGCGAACAGACGCACGGCGGTCCGCGACTATTGTCTTTTACTTTACTCCTACTGAGCCCTTCCCTTTTCAGCGAATATATAATCTATTCAATAACCACCACCTATGAGAATGTCTCTATTACAGCAAATAATGACTAGGTTGTACCCTTAATGTAAACCTAAAAGCATATTGAAGTCCATATGTCAAAATATTTAGTAGGAATTCGTATTATAGTCAATAATATTAACTCAATAATATTGATTTTTGATAGGAAAGTGTCAGCAATGTGCTTAGAAACTTTTTATAATTTCAGCTCTTTCTATTAATAATAAATTCGTCGCAAGTTCTGAGGATTTTTTAGTTGACAAAACGTGTTTTTTTGGTGGGCGATTTATACTAAAAAGTTGTGAATAGAAGATAAACAATGATGCTTAGTCTCTGGTGGATGTTTATAATTACTGAGTAGTAAACATTTAGTAGTTGCTGGGCTATTTTATTAATAATAAATATATTATTACAGTCGCATGTAAAAAGTTAACTTTGAAATACTACAATCGCGATTGCACAGTTTTTATGCAATTGTTTTTTACGATTTCTTTTAATTATTACTAATTGCAATCAAAAATTACAGCATGTGATATCAGTAACTATTTACCACTAATCAAAGTTTTCTGGTGAATAAGACAATTCTAGGATAAATTTTCTAGTGTTTTAAAGTTAAATTTTTATTTATTGTATATAAATAGCTTACGAATTACGTAAGAATTGGCATTTCATATTGCAAAATGTATGCAGATCTGGAAAACTAAAATCTACTAAAATAAATGAATATATTTACAAGAAAATAGAATCTACTTCCCTATATACTCACGTCCGATTTCGCACATGGGAAACTTTTTAGATAATTACTATACATATTTTTCCATTTTCTCATTTTGCAGCCACAAACAACGTCAAGAGGGTCGCCGCAAACCTAGGATAATAAAATTATATGCATAAATTTAATAAATACATAAAACAAACGCGCATCGCGCCAAATTCTTAATAGAAAATTCTATATGTCTACCTATATTCATATACGTACACGTATGTATGGGTATTTAGAGAAAATGTGTTGAAACATTTGCCAAAAAGCTTTGTGACGGCAAATCAAAGCTAGCAAAAATATAAGTAATATATATAATACAAATAATAGTAATCGTTCTTGTTCTAAGTGTGTTAAGCGTGAAGCCACATTTGCATTTGTAATTCGTATCTTAGAGTCGCGTGTGTCTAACTAAATGCTCTTAAAGTGCAAATGAATCGATGTTAGCCTAAATAAATTCAAGCAGTTGCCAAATAGCCGACCATCACTGGAATTGGCTTGCTGGCTCACTGCACTACATCTAATTATCTGATCGAATCAATTGAAACGTATACTTAAAATACATAAAGCGCGAAATCAAATCAAAAGCAAAACACAATTTGTTGTTACCACCAACAGCAAATTAACCGATTAATATATAAATTAATAAGTAACTAAGCCAATAGCTGTTTTCATTTACAAGTCGGCGCCGGCGCCACATAAAACAGCCTCAAGACGGAGTCCCTAGAGTTTTTACAGTCAGAGGACGTCATGGATATCTTACCGAGCGGAAACATATTCAATGAATTGGAGCACATCTGCACCACCGGCTACTTCTCATCACAGACATCGATTGAGGATCAATGGCAACAGGTAAGTGTGTTTTAGAAGCAACCCATTTCCCAACCATTTTTAAGATTTTAAAAGCCTCGTTCTGGCCTTCCAACTTTATTTATTTATTTATTAGCTTTTCCCAACTCTAAATTAAATTTAAACATGCAGCCCCATTTCCAATTTCGTTTTAAATTCGAAGTAAATATTGGGAAGTCAAAGCTGCCGCTGTTTTCTATAAAACGTTATTTTGCTTTTCAGTTCGTGTGGAATTAAAAGTAATTAAGTAATTTTTCACTTAAATATGCCACTTTTGCTGAAATTTTATTTCGCTTATATATTTGTTCGTCTCATTTTTTTATGCTTTTGTTGCATTTTAATTAATTTATAGCTATTGTTATTTTCCATTCCTGTACATTTCTCAAAGAAATACTTGTATTTAAAAAAATTGTTGAAACAAGAGCGAAGCTCTTCCACCTCAGAATGAGATAAAGACTAAATCCATTTCCACTTACTTAAAACTTATTCAATAGTATACCAAAAAGGTAGGCTTTCCAGTCCTGTGTCTATTACAGAATATTTAATTTTTTAATGGAAGCAGCCTGAGCTCATAATAGCTCATACTTTGTACAAAGGATGTTTGCTTTTACAGTATTCAAAACAATTATATGGGATTTTATTGTAACATTTGAGCCATAAGTGAGTGAGTGTACAACTTGAATTTGAATTTAGAAATCTCTTAAACAAATAATATTTCAGTACTTGGAGCTTTTATGTGGCTTCTCTTGCAGTCTGAAATATTTTATTTAACATTTCAATTGCGATTACGAATGTTAATATTTTAGTCATGTTTCTTTTCTCAGATTGTGGTTGTTCTGATTATTAGTAAGTACAATGACTTTCTTTGATAAAACAACACTCATCGCTGCTGGGGGGTACTGAAAGTTATTGTATACTTTCAGTCCAATTCCAAATCGAATACAAGTACATTCTCCATCTGCCTTCGGACAATCGCAGCAACTGAACTACTATCTATTTGCTTCGCCAATTTCGACCGATAAGTAAAAGATTGATTAAGATGTAGAACGGAAAGTTTTTGTTTATTCTAACTGTAATGATGGCCTACTGCTCCTCACAATAGCTTCTCAGGTCAATGTATTGCTCACTTACCATGGGATTTGTATGGAGTGGCGGTCTTACCTCATTCTCTGAAGAGCTCAAATACTATTGTACTTAGCATTGATAAAACACGGCGATTGACGTCAATGCCCCCACTAATTTCTATTTATATGTATTTACTGGTTTATTTCAGAATTTTATAATACCCAGATACGCTAATGCAGTCGCTTTATCGGGGCTTTGGCTCCCATGACTTATTGGTCACTTCATTAAGTAGAAACTTTTGCGCAACTACGGGTAGCTGGCCAAGCACTTTTGGCCATATTTTGTTTTGTTTTGTTTGGGCGAAAATAAAAAGCGAAAGTAAAAAATTTGCTGGCTATTCTTTAATTCTTATTACTGTTTCTTCTTTGACTTATATTCTCGCTGCCCAAATTCAAGGTGATTTCTTCTTTTCGATTGTTTGTTATGCGTTTGGTTTGGTTACCTGTTTGCAGTTCTGCGCTAAAATTAAAAGTAAACTTCTCAACTTTGTTGATAAGCAACAAAAAAATGGTGCGAGCATTTTAAATAAATGTTTGCATATATAAGTATATATGCACATACATGTACTTGTATGTGTGTGTGTTTCTACAATTTGCAAAAAATAGACGCGACCATAAATAAGAAGCCGCCACAGCAGCCGTCAGTTATCATTTGGGGGCATACATTATATTTTCGCAAGCAGACATACATACATACATACATATAGAAGAAGCATATATATAAATAACTATATACGAGTATATTGCACAATGCTGGCTGTGGCTGTATGTGTGTCATTCGTTTTGCTTTTATAATTTCTGCTCTTTATTGTTGTTGTTCATATTGTTTTTGCCGCTTTGCTCTGGCTTTGATAAAATGCCGAGCGGCCGGCGTCGCTTTTCTTATCAACAACAGCTGATTGGCGCTTCCATTCGCTATATCTTCTTGAGCCTTTTCTTTGAATGTTGTTTGAATTTATTCAGAAGCTGTATAACACTTATCAGAGAACAGAAGCAGTAGCGTGTGACGCATACATGTTGTTGCTGTTGGTGTTGTTGTTGCTGTTATGTCTGTCAAACCAAAGTCGTATTTCATTCGCTTATCATTGACGTTACTGAGCTACCGTTAAAGGTCAATAGGCAAGGCGTCTCTAAGGCAGTTGGCAAGGGTATGGTCATGGGGCACTTAGCTCTGCGCATGTTTGAAATATTTTTGGTTCTGCACACCTGCCACCCACCAATTGAAATATCGAGGTCGCACTGTGGTTCCAAATTTAAACTTGGCCCATTCCAGCCTACTACTGGAATGCAAAGTATGCTTGAAAGCAATTTAGGAAAAGAAAGAATTTGATAAGAAAAACTAAAAATTGAAACTAACACCCTAAGAAATACTCGTATAGTATACAAATTAAAAATGAGGCCCCAAGAAAACTTTTAAAAAACAAAGAATTCAGTTTGTTTCGTATTAATATTTGGAGGAAGATTCAAGTTGGAAATTAAAATATAACTATCAAGTTGATTAGAATTTGTTTTTCCCCATTTCGGGTCCGGATTGTCCAAATTGCAGTTGAAATGTTAAGAGACTAAATAACCATTTGATGAACCTCGGGGCTCTCCAAAACTCTACAATTGCAAATATTGGGGAAGGTCTGTCTATGGGGACGTCAATCGCCAAAAACATATACGATATTCAACATTTTTCATTTCAACAAAAGCACTGATATCGAGTTAGTAAACTGATTGTTCATCGACAACTATAATACCGATAGGAAAGATGCCTAATCACAATTATAATTTTTGGCTGGAAACATTTTGGATTTGATGGGATTTTTGCTGGATTTTTGTCTGGAAGAGTCCAATTATTAAAGTAAAAATATAAATAAGCGATGCAGCTATAAAACTTCATTCTTTTTTTGCAATATTAACGTACCGCATCAATAGGTAGTTGGGTTGTAATAGCACATAAGAGCAATCGCTTAAATTCTTTCATTTCGAAGTTGATTTTTATATTCATTTCCATACGTTACTTATTAACAACACTTAAATATTGTAAAAATTCGATTAATAGCATAAAATGAATAATTCCGCATCAAAATTTTCGACACTTCCGGTGATACAATCATATGATAGGAGTTTTTTGTTTAGTTACAAACTCACAAAAAAGAACAAGAAAAAACTGGTAGACATTGAGTAGAAAAAGTTCCACAAGTTAGGAACATGTAAGCACTGTGCCTCGCTACCGTCCGTAATCCATTGTTCGGCAGTTATATAACACGCCTTTGTTTATTTGTGTAGTCAGAATATTTCGAAGCCAACAATGGCCCCCAAACAATGTTGTGTCTTTGTACGCGCGAATGGTCGAACAACCGATTCGGGCATTCTTATTTATTTATTTTAATAATTTTTCGATATGTGTTTGTATTTGAATCTGTATCTGCATCTGTATTTGTATCTGCGCTACGCACAGACCGCAATGGCCGATTGAAATCTCAAGTATTTCTAAACAAAACTTGCGCTGAAATTTCGATTTTTCGCACAAATGAAAATGCGAATGCTTTCAGCTCGACGTTGGTGGAATGGGAAAATAAATTTTTGAAATTAATTTGCATAGCTACAAAGAGTTTGAAGCAACGGCATCATTTCCCTGACTGTGTGATTGCCAAGGGTACGGAGTGGAATGTGAGGTGCTCTGTGTGCCTGCGTTCTGATGGTAGTGGTGCTAACTTGTTTCGTTTAAGGCCTGCAAAGTCATGTCGCGGTTGGAGCATGCTTCTGCTCGTATGTTTCGCTTGTGCCCCAACATACTTCAAATACCCATTTAATTTTGTTTAATTATTATTAACAAATACCGCACATACCTATTATAAAGCTGCATTTAAAAACACACATACAAATATAAATATGTACATATATACTACTTACATATGTATATAGGTATATAGCGATATTACCGCATATGAATTTATCTTATCGCAACGTTCGCCGATTTGGTTTGGAATTTCAGCTTTGAGTGGTTGGCCCAGTGCCCCGCACTTTGAAGTGCGTTGCTTAATTAAATACCTGTGTACATATGTACTCCTATATGTATGTACGTGTATGTTTGAAAACGTAGTTGTATTTAGTCATTTAAATGACATAACAAAACATTTGAGCTTGTTTAACATTTAAATTCTAGGTGGCAGCAGAGTGCGGGCCCAAAACAATTTTCCGCTTCAGTCGCAATGCACTCGTTTAATTTCTACAACTTAAAAAGTTTTAATTGAACTTGAGTACACATTTTTGCATAAGTTAAGTTTTCAAAAACTGCAGCTCAGTCGTCATTTGTATGTATATTTTTGTGTTTTTGTATTTTTGCTGCTGGTGCTGCTGCTGCTCCTGTTGTTGTTGTTGTTGTTGCGTTGCTGAGCTCTGCAGTTTTCGGTTGACTTCTTAACGGCTCCAGCCAGCTAGTCAGCTCAGGCCAGCCACCCACCAGCCTCCAACTTTCTCTCCCTGCCGCTTCCATTCGAAAGCACAGCGCAAAAACTTTAAATTGCAGCATTAAAATAAACTTTGGAGCCGTCTCGCTGGGTGACACAGTACAGGTAAAGTACAGGTCTCGTAAGTGCTGCAATTCTCGTCCAGGAAGAGGTGGAGGGGTCGTGGAGGGTCGTGAAGCTGCTTCAGATTTTAGTCGCTTGTGGGCAATTGCGTAAGTTTTAATGCTGTCACAAATCGAAGCGGAATTGTTCATGTCAGGCTAATGAAAACATCAAACAAATGTCTGTCAGTCCCTGGCCTGTCCCTCTTTAAGCCCTCCTCCCTCCGACACCTCCCCTTGCTATTTCCACTGTATGCTGAGCACATAATTAGAACACTGCGCAAAGCGACGGATGTTTTGCTTATTTCCGTTGACTTCCG